TATTTGGTGTGAGTTTAAATTTATTTGATTTTAAAAAATTTTCTTTTAAACTGAATTGGTTTAGTGGTTATCTAAATTTCGATTGATTCGTTTCATACATAGATTCTTTTTTTCAAGAGATACTATAAAGAATCTATGTATGAAACGAGTCAATCGAAATTTAAATAACCACTAAACCAATTTAGTTTAAAAGATAAAATAAAATGAAAGTTTACAGATTTTAAAATTTTGAAAAGATTCTCCAAATAACTTTTGCGTATTCTCAAAAAGTTTTGCCAAAGAGTTTACATGTCTTTGTTTTGTAATGAAAGGACAAGGGAAATGGGGAGTGACCTCAAAGAAGAGCACGATGCAGTAAAAGGTGTAGAATAATGTTGCAATGTAGATGTGAAACAGAGAAAGAGTATTAACAAGTAAGAAAAACAATCGAGAAGTTGTGTAATGGAATCGTGACAAAAAAAAAAATGCTTGGAATAAATCCACAACTTTTTGTTTATGTAAATCGGATGTATCAATATAATCTATAGTGCTGGAGAGGATGAGACTGAATTGAATATATAAAAATAATGTAATCGATAAAGAGAAGGAGATGATTGAGATACCCAGTGAAGCAAAAATAAAAAAGGGAATCACAGCAGTTTGAACAAACATATCCTAGCCGGTGAAATTAGGATCAGTAGTAGCCCGTGTTCAAAAAATCGCTATAATCGGGCGTTGAAGGTGGGCCTAACGCCTAGCAAAGAAATCAGAAATTAAACAGAGATTAATCGGGAATTAGTTTTAAGGTTATTTAATATTTTAAAAACATCTAATCTATTATTATTTTTAAAATTGCATTAAACACATTAAAACAAGAGTTTAAAGTCAAATTTATGATTTTTATACAACTCACCAAATAAAAATTTATGATTTTTATACAAATTATGAACATAAGAATGAACGTTTTGAATTTTAGATCCGGAAAAAATTGTAAAAAAAAAAAAAATTGGGCTAGATGCCGTCTAGGCGGACAAAAATTCGGATTACTAATTTTTTTACCGATTTGGACAAAATATCCCCTAGACGGCCTATTTTTAGAACATGGGTATAGCAGCAAAGAATATGCAAAAACAAGCGAATGATGTTTACAAAATAATTTTACAATCTCTCTACTTTGATGATACTTTTCATGACTTTATTTTGTGAAAAAAATATATAAAATCATAAATAAGTAACATAATAATTTAATTCATTAATAATCATAGATTCTTTTGTTTTAATTGAATAATACAAAAATTTTATTGACTTTATAAAAGTGTGAATCTAATAATTCCATATTTTATTAAGATTTTAGATTACTTTTTACAAATCTAAAACTAATAAAACAAAATTTTAACACAATTTTTAAAAATCTTGATTGAATAACAGTAGATTCTTTGTAAATAAAATAGAGTTAAGTCCCTAAAACTCTATATAAATCACAAACCTATAAGGCTATAATACCACCTTAGAGCCGGCCCTAATATCCTCGATTTTCTTTATACCATAATTCAAGATTTTATTAGGTTTTCTTCCGCTCTTCTTCTTTTAGGTTGCGCAGACAGACAGAAGCCTTGTTTCATATTCGACAAGTTGGTGTTTATGTCAACCATAAAAGAAGCTTCGTTAAAACAGAACCTTGGAGATTGTGAAGACGTGGATAAGATTAGTCAATTGCCTGATGAATTGCTCTTGAAGGTACTATTGTTTCTCCCAACAAAAGTTGCTGCAAGCACGAGCATTTTATCGAAGCGATGGGAGTTTCTTTGGATGTGGTTGCCTAAACTTGAGTACGTTCATAGCAATGATTCAGTGCCTGAACTAGCAAGTTTACGGAACTTTATTTATTTGAATCTGCCATTACATAAAGCTCAGGTCATAGAAAGCTTTCGTCTCAAGTTGAGAAAAGAGCGAACTTGGCCGAGAATAGTTAAACCTGAATATATCACTACGTGGGTTGTAATTGTTGTTTCCCGATGCGTCCGTGAGTTAAACCTCAACATTTCTTGTATGCGCAATCCTACTAGCTTGCCGAGCAGTTTGTATACCTGTAAATCGCTTGTGATCTTGAAACTGAAAGACCAGATTCTCGTGGCTGTTCTTCCTCGTATGGCTTGTCTCCCGTCTTTAAAAACTCTGTTCCTTCAACGTGTAGATTACTCATATGAAAGTTCTCTTCAGGAACTTCTTTCAATTTGCCCTGTTCTCGAGAATCTATTTGTCGAACGAGCTGGTCTTGAGGAGTATAGTCGCTATTTTAATACATTGAGTGTAATTGTCCCGTCTTTGCTGAGACTAACCCTAAAGATATCAAGAGGTTCTCAGTTTGATGAGCTTGTGATAGACACTCCTTCTTTGAAGTATTTCAAAATTACGGATTATAAGGGTGAATATGAAACTGAGGGTGTTGATGATAGCTACTCCTTCAATTTTAAAGATATGCCTAACTTGGAGGAGGCGGATATTATTTCGATATCGATAAGTTTGTTAGATCAATCACATCCGTCAAGCGGCTATCATTATGTGTAAAAGTCAATGCCGAAGAGGTAATCTGTTTCCATCTATCTATCCATTATCTCATTTTAGAACACTAAACCAGGTTTTATTAAGGTTTATTCCTTCACCATCATGTGCAGGCTTTATATCATGAGGGTATTGTCTTCAACCAGCTTGAGAATCTAAAGCTATGTCCATGCGATTCAAATTGGTCAAAGCTACTTGTCCGGTTACTCAAAGATTCTCCTAATTTACGAGAGCTCGAAGTCTCTCTGAATGATGTAAGTTTCTTGGTTATAGACATATTCTTTTGGTTTGATTTACTATAATATTTAAGCCAAGCTTTTATGATTGATCTCAGGATCATAAAAACAGTTGTGTGGATCCACCAGTTTGCTGGGAGAATCAACTGAATTGTGTTCCTGAGTGTTTGTTGTCGACCCTCGGAAATTTCAAGTGGACAGGGATACATGGATCGCCAAAAGTGATGGATTTGGCAAAATATATTTTGAGAAATGCTCGTTGCTTAAAGACTGCGACAATCTTATTTCAGTCTGCTCTAGAGACGGAGGATGAACGTGAGATAATGATCCAGGAGTTGTTACTTTCTTTTCGAGGTTCAACAACTCATACTACTATAATGTGTTCATTTATATGAAACTTGGAAGTTTCTTCTCAACTTTTAGATTTTGGCTTCGACAGAGCGATTTTTATATTAGAGTATGAAAAAAAACAATAAGAGTATGAAATTTATTCTTCATTGTAGAACCTATAAAGAAATATACTACTTTGTTTTTGGACGTGGTGTTTTTGCAGTCTGCAACTCTTACACTACGTTGAGCTATTTCTAATTCTTATATATTTTAGATTCAACATCCTTAACGACTGGCCTAAGTTTACTAAATTGATTCTGCAAAAGAGTTGGAAAGAGATGGGAAGAACTTTTCCAGATGCTGAGAGAGCGGCGAGACGTTTTGCTTCTGTTGATTCATGCTCAAAGGAAGATTGTCAAAGAGAGGAAGAAGAAGATAGAAAAGAGTGTGCATTCATATGTTGATACTTTGTCCGACTTGGAGCTTCCAGATGAGAAGATGAAGCTGAACGAGAAGTCGCGGCGTTGCAATGGATCATAGTGAACATGGTGAAAATTCTGGAAATATCCATTTTAAGGCTCTTGGTCTCGCTAGTTTGAGTAAAAAGATTAGGGCTTCATAGATGCATTGGAGGATTCTCACATCATGAAACCTTTGTAAACTAACACAAAAAAATAACCAGTGCGCAGCGAAAAATACACTTAGTAAATAAAAAGGAAGAGAGTAATTAAAGCTAAAACCAAGTTGTTCCCATTGAGGAACTCTTTTGCTGAATTAAGAACCTCCCAATAACTCTGGAATCAAGAATCTGAAGAGCTCCTCCAGATTTATTACACATCTTAGAGTCTTATACTATAATACTAATTCACTGAAGATCATTGGGAGATACTAAAGTCTAAAGTCCATTACCGAATCAAAAGATCCTTGAGAGATACTAAACTTACCACTCTTGTCTCCACTAAGTTATATATATTTCGCATTTGTTTTACGAATCAAATGCAAAAACATTAAATAAGGCCCTGTTGGTTTACTAGTCCATGGCGACTAGCGACTGCGACCAGCGTTGCTTATGTTGTTCGTTTGACAGTCACTGCGATTGGTCGATGCGTTGTTCGTTTGGTAGTCGCTGCGACCAGTATTTAAAAAAAAAAAAAAAAAATTAGTTTTTAAATTATTGTTTCATGAAAATTTTAATTTCACAAAAACTGAAGTTATATACTTTACATTCTTAAGAAACTAATTTTTTTAATAGTTAATTAAATAATTCACTTATTTTAAATTAATTATAAAAATTTAAATACATATTTTTTATTTTTTAAAATTTAAAATTATTATTTCATGAAAGTTTTAATTTCAAAAAAACCATTGTAATTAAAATCAAGTTTATTTTATTTTTATTTTGTTTACTTTACAGTATTTTGTTTTTTTTTTGTTAAACTAAATTAATTTTAGTTAAATATTTTTTATAGTCACAATTGTTCGTTTCGCAGTCGCTGACGACCAGCGACTAATTGCAGCGATCAGTCATTTTAGATCGCTGAAAAAGTTAGCGACTAAAAATTTAGATTGTTGGTTGCTGCGACCAGTTGCTTCGACCAGTCGTTTCGATTGGTCGCTGAATGCAGTCACTGATCGCTAGCGACGGGCAAACGACCATGAACAAAATCTTTGGTCACACAACAGCTCTAACTTAGTTTATTTCAACCACGGCTAACTTGTTTATTTCAAGATCATTTATATAAAATGACCACGGCCCACTTGTTTATTTTATTTTTGGTGAGGACGGCCCACTTGTTTATTGGAAGACCCAAAAGTTTCTTATAAAAATAAAATTATTTCCATAATTATTCATCAAAATAATTAATCAAATGACTAAAGAGTTTTTGTCTACCCCAAGGCCCAAGCCCTAGGATATATTAGAAGAGCCCGGCCCAAACAAAGATTTTATTAGGTTTTCTTCGGTTCCTCTCTGTTATCATTCGTCGCCTCTGTTCTTCTTCTACAAGTCGGTGTTTATGTCTCTGATAAACACACCGTGGTTAAAATCAACAAAAAATCTTGGAAACTGCGAAGAAATGGACAAGATCAGTCAGCTTTCTGATGAATTGCTCTTAAAGGTACTACAATTTCTTCCAACAAGAACTGCCGTAAGCACAAGTATTTTATCGAAGCGATGGGAGTTTCTTTGGATGTGGTTACCTAAACTTGAGTACGACAATACCGATCAATCATCCTCTGAACTCCAGAGGTTACGTGCTTTTATTCATCTAAATTTGCCACTACATAGAGCTCCCGCCATAGAAATCTTCCGTCTCAAGTTTATTAATATACCAACAGGAATCTTTAAACCTAAAGATATCAAACTGTGGGTTGTAATAGCAGTTTCTTGCTGCGTACGTGAGTTAAGCCTCAACCTTCGTTGTATGTGCCGTGCTACTAGTTTGCCGAGTAGTTTGTATATCTGCAAATCGTTAGTGGTCTTGAATCTGATAGGCGATGAGATCTCCGTGGATGTTCCTCGTACGGCTTATCTTCCCTCCTTAAAAGCTTTGCTCCTTCGACGTGTGATTTACTCACATTTAAATGAAAACTCGCTTCACCGACTTCTTAGTTGTTGCCCTGTTCTTGAGGATCTAGTTTTGGAACGATGGTCAATGGACTATATGGGTGAGTCCGAGATTTTTCGAACAGTGAATGTAACGATCCCGTCCTTGCGGAGACTAGCCCTAGAGATACCAAGAGATGTTGATATGGATGAGCTTGTTGTAAACACTCCTTCTTTGAAGTATTTCAAATTAGTTACAGAGGAGGATAGCTACTCCTATGATTTTCAAGATATGTCTAAGTTAGAGGTGGCGGATATCGAAACGACATTCCCTGATATCAGCAAGTTTGTTACATCAATCACATCTGTCAAGCGGCTTTCATTATGCGTAAGAGTCAACGCGGAAGAGGAAGAGGTAATTTCTTTTCATCCATCTATAGTTCTCATTTATGAACACTTTATATTGAGGTTAAATCTTTGTTGATTCTATTTCTATCGTGTACAGGCTTTATATAGTGAGGGTATTGTCTTCAACCAGCTTGAGAATCTCAAGCTTTGTCCATGTGATGCAAATTGGTCAAAGTTACTTGTCCGGTTTCTCGAAAATTCTCCTAATTTACGAGAGCTAGAGATCGATCTGAACGATGTAAGCTTTTTCGATAGAGTCCTTTTCTTTTGGTTTATACTAATGCAATTAATCTTTAAACCAAACTCGCATGTTTGAACATCTCAGGATCATAAAGATAGTTGTGTGGATCCACTGGTTTGCTTGGAGAATCAATTGAACTATGTTCCTGAATGTTTGAGGTCGAGTCTCGAAACTTTCAAGTGGACAGGTATACATGGATCGCAGAAAGAGATAGAGCTGGTTAAATATATTATGAGAAATGCTTGTTGCTTAAAGACTGCGACAATCTTGTTTCAGTCTACTACTCCAGAGACAGAGGATAAACGTAAGACGATGATCCAGGAGTTGTTACTTTCTTCTCGAAGTTCAACAACATGCCAACTCGTATTTGATTGAAGATTTTAATCAGTAGATGTTTTTTCATATACTATAATTCTCACTTGCAATTATATGAATCTTGATGATCATAAACAGTGGGTTTGTTTATCGTTTTGAAGTTTTTTAGATCTTTGAATTTAGAAGAATCCTTTGTTTCGACAAAGCCATTTGTTGCGACTTTATAATTTATGTGACAAAAGATGTAACACATCAAGAACTACATCACTAGTTAAAAGGTGTCTGAAGTTTACGCTTAGAAATACTAGACATGAAGTAGTGAATGTAATGATCATAAAAGCAAGAGGTTAGAGAGATTCATGGAGTCATACAACAAATACTGGTTGTTTAAAGGGAATTATGAAGAGTCATATCTGGCTAAGAATATCGAACCCGTGGAAGAAATTATCACAAAGGATTCTATTTTCTACCTCATCAACTCATCCTTAAATCTCTCGATCACAAATCCAAGAGATTCACACAATCGTATCAATCCTTGAGACTTTCCTGCAACAGTTGAGCTAACTCTGACCCTCAAGAAGCTACCTGTCCTTGTCCTGTCAGTCTTAGATCGGCGAGATATAAGCCTTGACAAAGTGATGGTTTACTTGCGGGTACCTACAGGAGCAAACACTGGAAGCTGGTTTGAGGTTGTGTCTCTTTTGAATCTAGCTTCCCGAGGCAATGTCAATGTCATTCTGTCTTGTCCCTCTCTTCCCGAGTCTCCATCGTGTCTTAGGCTATCTCTATTCGGGATATTTACCAGGGGCCCTCCAAAGAATATTGAGTCACCTGTATACATCAGTCTCTCTCCTTGCTGCTGCGGAGGTGGAGCCCTTCCAGACGATGAATCTTGAGGCGGATGAACAACGGGTCTTGGATTCTGAGTGTTACCCATGTGTGAGCTAGGAATTGGCTGGTTCTGTGAGGATAATCTGGTTCTTGGCTCAGATGTTGTTGCAGGAACTGATATATATCTACCTGCCTCTTGGTCCCAAACAACTGATGTTCTTCTCACATCTCTCAGAAGAGAAGCTGCAGGAGCAGGGAGAAGCAGTGGATCAGCGTGGTTTCCTTTCTGCATTATCTTTTCATCAAAGGTTGAGTGGATCATGTGATTAGTTGCTGGATTAAGAGGTGGCCGGGAAGAATTTGACGCAGCCACTGCAGTGAAGCGGTGGCCAGCTGTATGATACTGGGGTAGAGGACTAAGTGTGACGGTCTCATGAACATGACTTGGACTGCTGAAACTGCTCACACTATGGGTCCCCGTGTCATACTCGTCCCGACTACCTTGGCTTGGAGCAAAAGAGTTTCTAGAATGAGACAACCTTGGATCATTGGTTCTTATTTCTTTACTCAACACAGCCCCATTTGCTTCTGTGCTTACACTGCTGACTACACTGATGGTGCCACTTCTGGAACTAAGCTCATCATCATGTAAATGACGGTTTTCTATTGGTCTTAAGACAGATGAGGATGCTCTGGCTCTGGCTGCTGCCCTTGTAGCTTCATTTGAATTCAATTTTGCGAGTTTCCAAGCACTAATTTTGACAGGTCTCTTTGGAATCTTGTTGCCCCTCTCTGCAGTTTCAGCTGCATCTGGATCTACGGTCGACGGAATCATTCTGGGGTCCAAATGAGGAATCACTTCATCCTGTAACAGATGACAAGTATCAATCCGACATGTCAATAACTGAATATACACTCAGTGGAAGCTATATGAAATTGCTATGTTTACGGTTCTTGGAAAAGCAAATGATACCTGATAATCAACAAACACTCTAGGAGGAGTACACCAGGCTCCTTTGTATGGTAATCCAAGGGAGCTTCCACCACTAAAGCCGGTCGTGGCAGATCCAGAGGGAGAATACAGCACGTTAGGAAGTTCCTCATCAATCGAAGCTCCAGCTGGTGCCTCGCTCATTGCTCTCATTGCCACAACATACTCGTAAGTTGTAATGCCCTATTGGTATAAAATACGAAAAATGATTTCACATCGCTTAGAACATGTGATCAACCCAATTACAAACAAAGTAAAGGACATATATAATATACCACATCTTTTAAGCAATGAGACAGGTTAGAGGAATGGATCATATGGTCTTAATCATAAAGGGAAACCAAATTCTATCCTCCCAACTACGAAGAGCATGCATTTTCATGTGCTACTCAATTATTTTGGGAACAATGTTGACTATAAAATTAAAATAACAATGAATGCTTTTTATACCGTCTTAGCAAGATTCATACCAGTAAAGCGAATACATTACAAACATAAAAAAGCGATATTGACTTCTTCCGGACTAAGAATACCTTTTTAATGAGGAGCATGTGGAAAAAGAAAAGTTCACCCAATGGAAACAATGCCAGCATGGAAACAGCAGTACAGAGACCCTGCATAAAACGTAAGATATCATCAGAAACATCAACAATAGATGCACAACATATAGCAAGTGCCTTACACTAAGAAGAATACTTACAACAACAGTGGCAAAAGGTGCCCGAGAAAATCCATTTCCAAGTCGATTGACGATTTCGGTTTCCATGTCCTTTTTATTAACAAACACACGCACTATAACTGCAATCCCAACTCCTGCTTCAATAAGGAGCTGAGAAAGAGAGATTTATTGATTACTGGTTAAGCAAACAGTGAGCTTGAGAAATAGCGTATAAGGATAATATACGTACCCAGAGAAGACTGACAGCCATCAGGGATATAAAAGTCATATAATTCTTACGACCGACACAATTGTTAAGCCACTGTTGCATTCAAATACAGCTGTGTCAATTGATCACACCCATAAAACTCTAGTCAATCAGCTCCAAGATTGTCATAACAATAAGAACTTTACCCGGCAATGATGATCGAAACAATCTACACATTTGTCGCAGCTTCGACAATGCTTGCTAAACTTACGGACCTGTCACAAAGAAGGAATCAAGGTAAACAAAGGATAAAGCGGTTGCTTCTTACTCCTCAAGCATAGACCAATATTAAGAACATACATATGCAAGGAACTAAGCAATTGTAACATAATAACATAATACCTCAGCATTGCACAACGTGCAAAACAGAGCTTCTTCCCTATCCCCCTGCTGTTCATCCGTCTCATCTTTGCTACGACAATCTTCATAAACAAATACGCCACAGCATATCGCCAAAGGATTAAAGAAAGAATTTTTTTTAGCATCTTCCACTCTTTGAGCATCTCCTACAGAACCCTTCACGCTAGAGTTTGCTGGTAAAGTAGACGTCCTCGAAGCAACCGAAGGAGAAGACTGCAGCTGACTGCCTGTTTCATCGAATTTTCTCGAGATATCTTTGGCAGCAGGTAAATCATCACCTCTGTTCGCACCCCTATCGAATTTTGACATGATTCCTGGATCCGCAGGATTGATTGCAGTACACCGAACATAAAGAACGAAAACAATAACAGCCTGCAAACACACATAGACACAAGCAGCAAAAGGGTATCAGATATGCATAACCTCTGAATCCAAACAGCGAAAACCATCAATTGAGGAATAGGTAACATACCACAGGAGAGTAAACACCGAGAAGAATATACTCCCAAATGCGTCCTCCAACAAAAGGAGCAAAAAACGCATAGTATGCTACACTCAATAAGCAGAACACCGTAATCGCAACCACCTGTTCAATATTCACAAATGAACTAAAACCCAAATGCGAGAAATTGGAGAGAATTAGAGAAAGGTTGAAATAAAGACCTGAAATTTGTGAGCAGGAAGTTGCCAACCATGTTTCCTAACCATTTTTGCTTCCACCAAAAGCTTTAACACTTACGAATCACAAAATCCAAACGAAACCCTAAAGCCGCCGCAAACCGTATAAAGGGACAATTTTGCTTGCAGTTTGGTGAAACCCAGAAGGATTTAAGGGAAACCCAGCTGAGAAAATATCTTCTTTGTCTTCGTATCTCTCTATATCTAACTAACTATGGTAGGTCAGTCATAGTCAAGTGACGAAAGAGGAAAGTAGACTCCTGTAATAAATTAAATTAAAAAAAGAGAAAAATAATGAATGTGAAATTAGAAATGACCTAAGCGAATTCAAAGTTAGCAAATTTATAGTCGAATAGGGAAGAGAAAGCTTACTGTGTAGCCATGGCGGAGACCAAAGTAACTGGAGAAGGAAGAAGAAAGAGAGAGAGATTGGAAAATGGAAGGAATAAAAGAGAGAATTTTTAGAAGAAAGAAAAAAGACAAAATAGAAAAGCGTTGACAGGCTAAAAGACCGAGACGGACAAATGAAAGTGGTTACTGGTTACTACCCAAAGCTGTATCTTTCAGCTGACGTGTCTATTTCACCTCTTTTGATATTCTCTTTTTCATCACAAATTTAAAATTTTTTAAATAGAGAAATACTACTCACTCTATTTCATATTATAGGATATTTTAGCTATTTATTTTGTCATAAGATGTTTTGGACAAAAAAATTCAAGTTTCAATGCAAAAATTAAATTTATATAATTTTGTGACTATTTATATTCTGCAGTAAGTTTTTTCATTGGCTAAACTCTATTTAATTAAATATTAAATTCTGATTTTAATATAAAAATATAAAAACAAAAAAAATTAATTAGTTTTTTAAACTTTGTGCTTTTAGCCTAAACATCCTATATATTGAAACAGAGAGAGTGGTTTTGAATGGCAATCGCGTACCGCTGCAATATATTTCCTTTGTTTCTAATAGTTTGATATTTTAGAGATTTGACATATAGTAAAAATTTAATTATTATTTAATTATTTGAACATTAATTTTAATATTACATATTTTAAAATAATTATTAACTAATAGTAATCTAAAAAGTTAATTATTTTCAATCATTCCGCTTTAAAGTTTACGATTTATTAATATAAATCAATAAAATAAAAATAAAAGTTAGAAAATTAATTTTCGTGAAACAAATAACAAAAGCTAGAACATCAATCTTCTAAGAACAAAGAGAATATGATATACAGCTTTCACAGTTACCAATTATAAAAGCGTTATCAAATGCGTTACTAAAAGTTTTACTATCACTTTTTCTTGTACAGCTTTTCCGTACAGCTCTTTTTTATAGTTTTGTACTATTACGGAAATAATAACAGTATTTACATTGTCTGTTTTCTTACTCCATATATTTGTTGCCTTTATAGCTAAGGACTTGTCTTGGTTTTCCTGTTTCCCGTTGTATGTCCAAGTAGTGTGTGAACCGACCAATAATTCATATGTATGGCTTGAAGTTTGGTTCCGTTAAGTCCACCATTAACTACTTTCTTCCCGGGGAAAAAACAGAAGAACGTGAAGCTAGGATCCAGAACGAACATCCTTATTTGAGTGGCTGGTCGATTCAATGTCGAAAGCACAATTCTTAGTAAAATAAAATATTTGATATAGACTATGGTTTGGAAAGCAAAACCAATTTAGGTGTCGAGCAGATTCATAACGAATTCTTAACTAAATTTTATATTTTTAACTAAAAATATCTTATATTCAAGTGAAACAAAGGAAGTATTTGACTTGTGTATAATTTTTTTTTTTCCATTCCATTTTATTCAAAACGTTCAATACAACTAATTTTTTCATTTGATCAACTTTCCAAACCAGAGTCTTTTTTAACACCTAAAAAACAAGTTGGACGGACGACGAAATCAATGAATGGGCTTTGGGAATGGAAAATGAAGCTCGGCAAGGAGAGGAAGATTTTATTTTCAAGCTTTCTTTTCAGCTAAGATGGCGAAGGATCACTATGGATTGCAATGATTATGAAGACCTAGTCTTCAAGGCTTAATTAGTTTTTATCTATTTAAGAGTCTTCATAGCTTAATTTATCTTTATCTATTTAAGAGTCTTTCATGTAACCCCTTTTTAATCAATCAATCTAATTATTCCAGTTTACTTGCTCTGTTTACAGTAGTCATTTGAGCCAGTTGTGTGTGTTTACATATCCTTCTTTTCTTCTTCTTTGAATACATTAAGTGTGATCAATACATATATAATTTTTCGATTTACATACTACTCTGCTCTGGTGAATTAACTCGAATTTGTGTAATTATACTAGATATGTCACAACTCAAAGAATCATGTAGGACTTGCTCATTCTTCGATTTCATCGTCTGTCCAATTTGTTAACATCTAAAAAATGCTATGGTTTGGAAAGTTGTTCAAATGAAAAAATTAGTTGTATGGAATGTTTTGAATAAAGTGGGATGAAGAATTAAAAAAATATATATATACATAAGTCGAATACTTCTTTTGTTTTACTCGAATGTAAGATATAAAATTTGGTTAAGAATTCGGTCTGAATTTGCTCGACACCAAAATTGGTTCAGCTATCAAAAGGACTAACAAACGTTAGACACTCGGGCTTTATCAATACTACAATGCAAGCGCTTTTCTCATATGCTTCTTTTGTGGAAAGAACATAATTTTTTTTTTTATTATCATTTTTGCATGTAACCTGGAAAAAAAGAAATAAACCTAGTCTTTTTCTACCTAGTATCTATTGTATTAAATATAAAATAATATAAAAATATGGATGATTTTCTCTTGTTAGTAATTTCGACCAGAATTTATGAGTAAGGTTCATTAACAAGTCTTTGTTATGAAAGCTATAAGTATCGTGGAAATGCATATCTCATTAGTATGTGACATATAGGTAGAAGAAGCAATGAGGGTAAAAATAAAAAGGTATACATCTAAATAGTCACAATAAAGATACGGCTGTATGATGTATCCCAGTGAGTATGTAAATGTGTTTAATCCAAAATAGCTTTTATGATGTTTATTTCAACATTCTCATTAGTTTTGTTCTTCAGTTGTTTCATTATATTACGGATCTCGAAGCGAGTAAACACCGTAAAAATTACGAGTCAGCCGCTCAACATCGAGATTGTCAAGAGTTAACTAATTAACAGCATAAAACCCTACAATCAGCCCATTTACATCAATCTGAAACTATTTCAGGGAATACAAGATATCCCAAAAGTTTGTAAGTTGTACTTTTTTTCTTTGTAATTTACTTATAAGGACTAGTATCACCTATATTTGTTCGTCTTACACTCGTTGTTCCATTTTCTGCTTAAAACATATAAATTTAAAAAATTCGCAAAAACTATTTAAAAATAAAAGATCTTAAAAATTAAGATTCTTTTTTTTGTCTTTTAAAAAATATTATTTATATATAATTAGAAGTAATGTAACCAATAAAAAAGATACTACAGAATATTAAAAATCATAAAACATCAAAGTGAATTAAATAAAGCATATGAATTTGGAAAAATCTAATAGAATGAAAAAAATAACCTATTTTACATCTTATAAAACAGAACAGAGAAAATATATAGAAATATACTTAACTTATTAAACATCGCCTGATTAGTAATTTACATGTGATGTAATCCATTTGGTGTAGAAAATTTTGATGGAATATCATAGAAAGAGATTTTAAAGATATCAATGACTATGTAAACCTTTTCTAAAGTGATAAGAGTAGATGTAAGAAAATACATATTAAAGTTATTATGAATTTTATTTTTTACATATTTTATTTTGAAAAATGTAGAACTGAAAAAGTATAGCCAGTAGATATGTTGAGAAAACGGCCAAAATCAACTCCAACTATTTTCATGCGGTTTTTTCAACTCAAACTCTGATCCCCTGCATTTATCAATCCGAACCAATACAATTTTCAAATAACAAACCTGAATTTTGTAACCATTAACAAATTTCAACATCTCTTTAAACAGTGTTACTTACTCATATAACGGTTCTGAGTCAGCGACACCTCTGGGCGATCATGTCGCATCTAGGCAGGGCAAAACGACTACATCTAGCTTTGAAGTTATTACCTCATTCTCTTTTCTCAAGAACTCGAAATTGTAGCTTAGAAATCGTTTTCTTTGAGCAATGTTTCGTTTTCTTCGATTACGTGTAGTGTTTCGAGGGACTAATTCTTTCTTCGAACTCACTCCCAATGAAATAAAGAACCATAATTTCAATTTAACCTAATGAAATGAAGAACCCTAATTTTGATTTAACCCTAAATTTTAAATGACGTCGTTTTATTCTTACGGCAAAACAACCAATAAGTACAAAATGACGTCGTTTTGCTTTGCAAAGGTACCACATGTTCTTAACCGTGTCGTCTGACTCAACATAGTTTAATGGTTTAATCATGTTGTTAAGGTATATGTTGAAATTGGTTAACAGTTACATAGTTTAGATTTATTATTTGAAAATTATGTAAATTCGGGTTGAGAAATGCAAAAATCAGAATTTGGATTGAAAAATATTGATATTCAAAAGAAAAGCTTGAATAATACTTGAAAACGGAAAACCTATAACAGCGACGCGCCTAAAACGCCAGACGCGCTAATCAGAAGAAATCGCGTCGACAACAAACCTATAACAGTGACAAAAATTCAATTAGTAAAGGCGAGTAAAGGATTCCAAAAAAAAAAAAAAAAAAAAACAATCTGTTCCAAGATCCCTAAAAATTTTTTAAAAGGAACCCTAGATTTTCTCTTCTCTCACGCTCCTTCGTTTCCCTCACTCGCTTTGGCTTCCCCACTCGCCTGCTTCGTGTTCTTCTTTGCTTTGCTCTTTTCACGTCAGAATTTTACTCTTCGTCGCTCTCTGGGTGGCCGAGAAAATGCAGTAAAAATCCCTCAGCAATCTAAAGGCTTGAAATTTCATGATTTTCGTAGTTTGAATTCTCAGGTTTTCTTCTTTATGATACATTAAAGTCTCTGTCTTTTATGCTGATACTAATGAAAGTTTACTTCTTTCACTTAATTTTGTGAAATTTTACTCTTTTCTGGTTAGAACCAGAACTTTTCTACTACTACAAGTTATTTTGTTGAAAATTCCTGAATTTTCAGGTTTTCTTCTCTGTTATACATTAAAGTCTCTGTCTTTTATGCTGATACTAATGAAAGTTTAGTTCTTTCACTGAAATTTTACTCTTTTTTGGCTTTTGAACCAGAACTTTTCTACTACTAGAAGTATGTTGTTGAAAATTCCCTAATTTTGTAGTCCCTTAGTTGAATTTTCAGGTTTTCTTCTCTATCATACATTGAAGTCTCTATCTTTTATACTGATACTAATCAAAGTTTAGTTCTTTTACTTGTTTTTGTGAAAGTTTACTCATTTTTGGCTTTAGAACCAGAGCTTTTACACTACCAGAAGTTATGTTGTTGAAAATTCTTCACTTTCATTTGAATCCATTGATTTTATACTGCCATGTGTGTTTCAAGTTTGGTGTTTTTAGGTAGAAGATGTCTCTCTTGTTCTTATGAAGTTTGTTTGTGTCATTTTCAGGTGCTAAGGTTGATTATCTCTAGTAGAGAGGTTTCAGTTTCCAATTTCATGGAAGCCCGTTGTGGGGTAGTAGTTGCTTTTGAATGTGTTAGTGAATCCATATGTGGCTAAGGTTAGGATGGATTTGCAAGAGAATCTGGTTAGTGATGCAGGGGATGAACATATGGTTGACATTGTAGTTGAACCGCATAGTAATAGAGATATAGGAATTGTTGATGAGTTCAATATAGGAGGAGATGTTGGATTTAGTGGTGATCTGGATCTTGAGCCACGAAATGGTATAGATTTTGAAACCCATGAGGCAGCGTATATCTTTTATCAAGAATACGCGAAATCTATGGGTTTTACTACGTCGATTAAAAACAGCAGACGTTCCAAGAAAACTAAAGACTTCATTGATGCTAAGTTTGCTTGTTCTAGATATGGTGTGACTCCTGAGTCTGAGAGTAGTGGTAGTAGTAGTCGAAGGTCAACTGTGAAAAAAACAGATTGCAAGGCTAGTATGCATGTGAAGAGAAGACCGGATGGGAAATGGATCATTCATGAGTTTGTAAAGGATCACAATCATGAACTTCTACCTGCCCTTGCTTATCATTTTCGGATTCAGAGGAATGTCAAGTTAGCTGAGAAGAATAATATCGACATTTTGCACGCGGTTAGTGAACGGACCAAAAAAATGTATGTTGAAATGTTGAGACAATCTGGGGGATATAAGAATATCGGGCCACTTCTTCAGACCGATGTCAGTAGTCAGGTTGATAAGGGTCGGTATCTGGCTTTGGAAGATGGAGATTCTCAAGTACTGCTTGAGTACTTCAAGCGTATCAAGAAAGAAAACCCCAAATTCTTTTATGCGATAGACCTGAACGAGGACCAACGTTTAAGAAATCTGTTTTGGGCTGATGCCAAGAGCAGAGATGATTATTTGAGTTTCAGTGATGTTGTATCCTTTGATACTACTTATGTCAAGTTTAACGATAAGTTGCCACTAGCTTTATTTATTGGGGTGAACCATCACTCCCAACCTATGTTACTTGGCTGTGCATTGGTTGCTGATGAGTCTATGGAGACTTTTGTGTGGCTGATAAAAACATGGCTGCGAGCAATGGGTGGTCGAGCTCCTAAAGTTATACTCACTGACCAAGACAAATTCTTAATGTCTGCTGTTTCAGAGCTCCTACCAAACACTCGCCATTGCTTTGCGTTGTGGCATGTGTTAGAAAAGATTCCTGAATATTTCTCACATGTGATGAAACGGCATGAGAATTTCTTGCAGAAATTCAACAAATGCATCTTCAGATCTTGGACAGATGATGAGTTTGATATGAGGTGGTGGAAAATGGTCAGCCAATTTGGACTTGAGAATGATGAATGGCTGCTATGGTTGCATGAACATCGCCAAAAGTGGGTGCCCACATTTATGAGCAATGTGTTTCTGGCTGGCATGTCGACATCTCAACGTTCAGAAAGTGTGAACTCTTTCTTCGATAAGTACGTCCATAAGAAAATCACACTGAAAGAGTTCTTGAGGCAATACGGTGCGATTCTGCAGAATAGGTACGAAGAGGAATCTGTTGCAGATTTCGATACTTGCCACAAGCAACCTGCATTGAAGTCTCCCTCGCCCTGGGAGAAGCAAATGGCAACAACTTACACCCACACGATATTTAAGAAATTTCAAGTTGAGGTCTTGGGGGTTGTCGCTTGCCATCCTAGAAAGGAAAAAGAAGATGAAAATATGGCGACATTTAGAGTTCAAGACTGTGAAAAAGACGATGACTTTCTTGTAACGTGGAGCAAAACCAAGTCAGAACTTTGCTGCTTCTGTCGTATGTTTGAATACAAAGGGTTTCTTTGCCGGCATGCTTTGATGATTCTGCAGATGTGTGGTTTCGCCAGCATCCCACCTCGATATATATTGAAAAGGTGGACAAAAGACGCTAAGAGTGGAGTATTAGCTGGTGAAGGAGCAGACCAGATACAGACCCGAGTTCAGCGCTACAACGATTTGTGTAGTCGAGCCATTGAATTGAGTGAGGAAGGTTGTGTGTCAGAAGAAAACTACAACATCGTATTGCGCACACTAGTTGAGACCCTGAAAAATTGTGTTGATATGAATAATGCTAGAAACAACATCACTGAGTCTAATAGCCAGCTTAATAATGGTGCTCACGTAGAAGAAAACCAGGTAATGGCTGGCGTAAAAGCAACAAAAAAGAAGACAGTTTATAGGAAAAGAAAGGTACGTTTTTACTAAAGCTTCTCGCCAATCTAAACCTTCGTGCATTTTCTTAGTTTCAAAAGCTTCAAAGGCTTAATAGAAGATACTCAAATTGATCTTATGCAGGTACAACAAGAGGCTGGGCAAATGCTTGAATCTCAACAGAGCTTGCAACCAATGGTTTGTGCTTTGATTTTATCTTCTCTAAATCATTGTAACAGCACATTGTTTAATGACATTAAGAATAGGATTTCTTGGATATAGCTTTATAGTTTTAACATTTTGTGCAGGAAAATATAAGTTCAGAGGAAATGAGTATCAATGGTTACTATGGTCCTCAACAGAACGTTCAAGGATTGGTATGCTATGTTAGTTGATTAATACAAACCTGGTTAAGCGATTCGACATCTATTATAAACCCTAATAATACTAAACCTGTTTTCACTGTGGATATAGTTAAATCTAATGGAGCCACCTCATGAAGGCTACTATGTGAATCAACAAACCATCCAAGGCCTGGTAGGGTTACATATACTTTAAAATCTTGAATTTCCCAAATCTGTGCCAAGTAAAGTTAATGACATGCTATAGAATTGTTATGTTTTTGGTTCTTTTGACTCTTCAGGGACAACTGAATTCGATAGCACCGGTGCAGGATAGCTTCTTCACGAATCAGCAAGCCATGCCTGGGCTGGTACATTATAAAATCCTCCAAACTGAGATTAGAAGCTGTATAATGAATGATCTTATTGTAAATATTTGTTGCTTGATTGCCCCGCGCAGGGCCAAATCGATTTCAGACCTCCTCCCAATTTCACTTACGCTATGCAGGTCTCAGCTGCATGAATAAATAATTTCCTTCACAGTTTCATTGTATGCTAGAAGCCTAGAACCACATGTTGATATCATGTTTTTTTTTTCGTTTTCTCAGGAAGAGCATTTGAGATCTGCCCAATTACCGGGTAGTTCATCAAGGCAGCTATAGTAAACACGTTTTGATTTAGTTTGAAGAGAAGTTTTGTCTAACGAAGCATATATGCAAGAAGCTGTTCCAAACATGAGAAAAACACAAGATCTTCCATGGAGCTTAGTTGCAATGACAAGATGAAATCTTTTAGATTGGTTTCTGTATATTATGAGATCGACTTTGATGTATGAATGTGGGGATGAGATATTGTCTATCTGACTGCATCATTTTGGGATTTAATAGAAGCATTTTGTAACAACACCTTCATCTAAACACATAGAAGTCTCCACTGTGTATTAGTTTAAGAAGTATTTTGGATATCACGCATGGGCATTCAGGTATGTACTACGTAGCTCGGAATCGGGTAAAACCCGATCGGGGCTGGGTCCCTCGGGTAGAGGAGTTTAGGACTTTAGGACTTAATAGGGTAAATCCGTAAATATAACAAAGATCGGTTCTGTTTTTGTTCGGGTCGGTTGGTTTAGATTTTCAGAACCTATACCCGAAAAATTTGGGTACTCATCGGTTTGGGTATATTTTATCTGATACTCGAAAAGTAAAATATTTGTATGTTTCTTGGGGATTTGGGTTAAGTTTTGGATATTTTGCTAAATTGTGGATATAGTCGAGTACAAAATACTCGAAAAATGTACCAATATTTTGGATATTCGAGTATCGTTCGGGTAATCTTGGGTAACCGGATACCCGTTCGAGTAATCTTAGTAATTGAGTATAATCAAATACGAATATTTTGGATATTCAGAGGTAATCTCGAATAATTGAGTTAGCCACTGTATATAGGGTATTATGGACCTGAACCGATATCCACATGTAGATATGTACATGAAGGTAATTTGGTCATATTCATAACCGATCCGAGCCGATTTTTAAGGATCAGTTCCGGTTCGTTGTTTTTTTCAGGCCTAGCCACATAAATCAAAATTGTTTTTTTTTTTTTTTTTAACATCTATATAAATCAAAATTATTAAAACATGTTTCAACTTATTTTTTTGTTTTTGGTAAGAATGTTTCAACTTATTTAGTAAAAACAAAAAGTTCATCCTTAGATTAAATGATGTTAATTTCACACACATTCCCTGGTCGTCGTGGTGGGTAGGTACGTCCTTTTGACAAACAAACAGAAAAAGGTTTCTTTATTCAGACAAAACCAAAACTGGGGAAGACCAAAATTATTAGAGTTGGTGAAAGAAACATTTGCAAAAAAAAAAAAAAAAAAAAAATCTCGAGATTGAGAAAGATTCAATTTCAATGGAGAAAGTGAATCAAACCTTCTTCTTATCACATGGATCTCCAACTTTAAGCATAGACGATACCTTAGAAGCAAGACAATTCTTCAAATCATGGACTCACAAAGTTCTTCCTCAAAAACCCAAATCGATCTTAGTCATCTCTGCTCATTGGGACACCAAATTCCCATCCTTCAACACTGTTCTTCGCAATAACACGATCCACGATTTCTATGGCTTCCCTGATTCTATGTACAAGGTATCAAAAAAAACCCTAACTTTTTGTCTCAATATATTCACAATAAGGCTCTTAGATCGTCGAAGGATGCATAAAGTTTTGATTTTTATATGTTTAAACCATCTCTATTGGGTTTGATTTTGAATGTTGGTTTGTAGTTGAAATATGAAGCACCAGGAGCTATTGAATTAGGGAAGAGGGTTAAAGAGTTGTTAATGAAAGAAGGAGGAATGAAACGTGTTGATGAAGATACAAAGAGAGGACTTGATCATGGCGCTTGGGTTCCTCTTATGTTGATGTATCCAGATGCCGATATACCGATTTGTCAACTCTCTGTTCAATCAAATCAAAATGGGAGTTATCATTATAATATGGGTAAAGCATTGGCTTCATTGAAAGATGAAGGTGTTCTTATCATTGGCTCTGGAAGTGCTACTCATAACTTGAGGAAGCTTGATTTCAATATCACTAATGGCTCATCGGTTCCTTGGGCTTTGGAGTTTGATATTTGGCTTAGAGATTCTCTACTTCAAGGAAGGTTAGAAAGTTTAAACCTTTTGCTGCTTAATTTTGTGATAAGTTATTGATTGTTTATGTGTTTTCAGGTATGGAGATGTGAATGAGTGGGAAGAGAGAGCTCCGAATGCGAAAGTGGCGCATCCGTTGCCCGAGCATTTGTACCCGTTACACGTCGCGATGGGTGCAGCTGGTGAAGATGCAAAGGCAGAGCAAATCCATACAAGTTGGCAACTTGGTACCTTGTCTTATTCTTCTTATAGCTTCACTTCTTCCCCTTAGAAGAACATTTTAAACTTTATCTCCTTCACTTGTCTTTGACTAAGCTTTTGTGTGTTCATTTCTCTCTTTAATAATCCAAATCCTGTATTGTATACAAATACAAATCCTTTATGTTCTATAATGTATGAATATGTCATGTGAATTTCAATAAATTGTGTTCTTTGTAATATACATAGAAGCATTTGTAACATCTCTGTGTTAGCTTAGTGGTCGATCTATGAAAGTTTTAGTCGAAGTGGTTTGTCTTCTTCGGTTGTGACTTCAAAATTTCAAATAACTAAAACTTTTAGTATTTACTAATCATTTTTCTTTGATACATAATAATAGCTCACAACAACAATAAAAACACTAAAAAGTTGTACAGGCAACAATACAGTTGACCAGGGGCGGGTCTTCCCTTTCATTACTTATTTCACGACGAGAATATATATTATCCAGAATTACCTTAAGGCCCGACGGCCAGCTAGACTCTTTTTGTTCTTTCATATATTCTTTTCATCATCGAACTTGGTTATGGCCCCTACATTTTTTAACATAAACTTTTAAACCATAAACCTCCCTGGCCGAACAAATCATATTTCCATTAGATGTTTTGAATACTATCTTGTATCGACACCGTCGTTGGCATTTGTTGCAAATGGGTCGACTGAGACGATTGTTAGGAATAACCTCAACCTTGTGGCTAGAGTTTTCGTTAATTGTTCCTGCTTTTATATAGGGGTCCTCTCCTAGTATACATTTAATATGGAATGTGACTCCACACTCATTGCATGTATAGTATCCTTTCTTCGGATTTGTTGTTTTCTCACAAACTTGGCACCAATAAAGACCACTTGCATTTTTCTCATAACAAAGGGTGAGAATATGCTCATCATCCTCATGCTTAACCTTGTAAGGAAGAGTGGCACAACGAAAGCATAAAGAAAAATCACATTTCGCACAACTTAAACTTCGAATATAAGCTGATTTTGTTCGACATATCGAACATGCTTGAGCAGTTTCCCTATCATAGATTAAGAACAAAGGATGTGGATGAGATGGATGATCAACCACTTCGGAAAAGGAAGCACATCTTACGTCCACAGAAAAGGGACACCACCTTTCGCTACACATGTAGCTGAAACCGCACGAATATCGATAACAAATATGACAAAAGAAATATTTATCAATCGGTCTTAGAATTAACCGGTGGTGATGCACCATATTATGTTTGAAGCGAGGAAGATTTGCACATGCTTCATGAAAAACGAAATCACATTGCATACATCTATAAACATTACCATCATCAAGAGGGAGTATGCACGCTTGACAATTTTGTTCTCCATCAAAAAATATTTCAATATTTCCATGAAGTCTCATCAGATGGTGCGCATGACTAAAATGTCGTATAATCCCATCATCTATCTCCTCAAATGACTTCAAATTATTTTCTAACATCTCTGGTTGGTCCTCAAGTTCATTTCGATCCCATATACCAAGCCGAGTAGCACATTTAGAGTGCACAGCATAAACGCAACCCTTTGTGCAAGAATATTCTCCATAGTTTTCATTAATCTTCCTTCCACAAACTCCACAAAACAAATTTTGGAAAGGAAGAGAAAGAGTAAAAGAAAGACGGTGAATGTGATAAGATATTTGTATGACACGCGGTAAGTAAATACACGTTCTATGGACAATAAAATCGCATTGGAGACAAGAGTAGAAGCAATATTTGCTATCATCCAATGCACAAACATCACAAGTAAGTGATGCTTTTCTGGGAAAGTAGTGGAGCATATGCTCATGCCTTTTTGGATTGTTTATAGCAGAAAATTCTCGTTTTCTTGCACAAACAGGATCCAACCAAAGATCACAAGTAAAAGAATAATAACCTAATCCCTTTATCATTAATCCACAAGAATGGCATTCCTTATCATAATATATTGTTGTGCCACCAATATAGTAGAGAAGCTGAAGAGGATTTTTTGGGTGACAAGGAGAAAAGAATATAGGGGGAGACTCAACACATTCTTTGTGGTAATAGTCTTTACATTTGTTGCAAAAATAATAGGTCGTACCGCTTTCATGATTATAGTGGCAAGCATTGCAGTATTGTTTGTCTTCTTCATTGTTGCACCCAAGAAACAAGCGAAGCTGATGAGTCTTGTCTTTGGCATCATCATAATCAGAGATATGATAAGAGTTGTCAATTATTAAAAAGGATGACCCACTAATTTCTGTTGTTTTGCGCCCACACCAATTTGCTGAAATTCTTCGTCTAGTAGGGCAAATGAGATGAGAAGGAGGAGGGGAGTCGATAGAATTCATGGAAGCTATTCAAAAGAGTTTTTTTGATGGTTAGAGATTTTGAGAGTTTATGAATGGGTTGTTATGACTACTGACTAACCTACTTATATAGACGACCAACATTGGAGATCATTTTCATGTATTCTATAACTTTATTCTATTTTGTTTGTAAAAGCAAACTCATCATTTCCCAAAGTATTAATACTATTCTTACATTCTATGTTCACGCAAGTAATAATAAAATAAAATATATTCCTTGTCAAATTAAAAAGGAAAGTGTTGTTGGGAAACGTAACATTATTCTTTAGTTTGCACCACATTCCATTTTTGTATTTTCAAAATCTCAAGAAATGTAAGCAAGTTTAGTGAATCATAAGCAATTCCTTTCTCATTTACACTCAGAGCTTCCTTCAAGTTAAAATTGAGTCTTTTTGCATCTCCTTATATTTTCACTTTGATCTTCTCTTTAGTTTGCACCACATCCCATTTTTGGCATGAATCGTTGCGCCGCTCACGAGTTCAACGGATTCCGGCGATCCACGCAGCTCCACATCGAATTTCTGTAACAGCATAGCTAGTGCGACGGTTGATTCCATTAGGGCAAACTGGTCTCCAATGCATTTTCTTGGCCCTCCACCAAATGGTAAGAACGCAAAGTCTGATATGATCTGTTGTCATCATAAAATACCAAACAGAGGCAACTCTTGTTAGAAGAGGAAAGATTATTTGAGAGAATGATCCCACGCTAAGGGAAAGATTTGCAAGCTTTGGAAGTTCACCTCATTAGGATATAGTGCCCCAAGGCTACAAGATGGATCAAAGCCAGCCCATCCTTCGATTCCATTGCTCTCCTTTGTTCTTAAAAACCTCTCGGGCTCAAAATCGTGGGGATTATCCCAAAAGTATGGAGATCTATGGAGATTATACACCTGAAAGCAGATACAAAATAGGGTAGTCAAAGAAAAGCGGGGTTTCGATGAGGAAGCATAAACGAATACAGAAACTACCACTTACAGAAATGAAGATATCCGTCCCTTTTGGGACTTTATGACCTTCTTTTTCACCTTTGTATCCCCCTGTTGATAGGAAATTAGACATATGTGAGCTCTGGACTGAGTCTTTCTCTAGTTATAGTGGAGATATTATGTGTTAATGAAAGCAAATTTGTATACATAGTACTTAGCAAGTGCAAACTTCAAGACATACCGGGTAAGGTTTCTGGTTTGAGAGTGCGTCTGATGAGCAAAGGTGGCTGAGGATAGAGACGAAGGACTTCTACAACGATCAGTCGTATGTACCTACAGAAGCATGGAACAAAGCGGTCAAAAAATTAAATAGAGACCAAAGGAAAAGATGAAAGAAGATATCTTTCGAGTTAACGTACTCGAGGTTTTTCATTGATTCATAAGTGGGTGGACCTTGACCAAGCACAGCAGCAATCTCAGCTTGAGCTTTCCTAATTTTTTCAGGATTCTGCAAATTTAGAAGAGAATGCTAAGACTGTACAAAGTTTTAAGCAGTCATCAAAAAATGTAAAACACTCGTAAGTGCATACTTGTGACAAAAGGAAAACAGCCCAAGTAAGAACCGCTGCTGTTGTCTCATGACCAGCAATTAGCATAGTCATCAAGTCATCCCTCAGCTGTTGAAACAGTTGTGTGAAAAATAATGAATCAAACTTAAAAGAGGAGAATAATTTTTTTAATCAGAAAGTGATAAATCTTACCTGCCGGTCATCAATATCAACACCACGCATATCGACTAAGAACCGCAAAAGACTTGCATCCTAAGAATCCAAGAGTACACAATCAGAGGAGTTTCAGAATGGGATTAAAAAGGGAAGGATTTTTTTAACACTTGTGCGAGATAAACCTTGAGATTAGTGTAGTCCCTTTGCTGGAGCTTCTCCACATCTGTTTCCTGGGAGAACAAATAATAAAATGAGAACAGAACAGCAGAACCAAGACAAAAAAAGTGAAATACCTGTCTTGTCTCTTTAGCATTTTGAATGAGGCCATCAAGGCAGTCGTTTATAATCTTCAGATCGCTTTGGAACTTTCGTTGCCTCGGGACTATCCATCTGGCTGGAGGAAATTTCCAATAAGGGAAGTAGAAAGTAGACCGATGCTCTGCCTCGAAAAGAGTTCCATAAACTGCCTGTGATGTAACAGAAAATATCAATGGACCAATGTACCTCAAAAGACTAGTGGAGAGCCAATTCAATAGTATAATAATTACCTTGATCACAGGGGACTCCTTTGTGACAGAGCCAAAGTCGTAGTTGAACACGCTAAGACCTATAATATCAAGAGCTAGACTCGAGAATTCTGCTTCCAGATCCAACTCAATGGTGTCCTCCCCGCTTGAAGTTTCTTTCTCCCTTAGGAGTTTCTCAGATTTCAAAATCATTTTCTCCGAACAGTCACTAAATACTTTGACCATGGCCTCTAGATACAATTTATGAAATGCGGGAGTGATAGCTACAACAGATATTGGAAGGAAACAACCATTAGTGCCATGGGCTTATGGTACTGCAATATCAGAAGAAAAAAAAAAAAGAGATTACAACGTGCTTTTACCTCTTCTTCTTAACTTCCAGGTATCAAGGTCAGCCGGTATTAACCCTTTTCCCATAATCGGCTCTAATATCTCAGCAAGAACTCCCTAGAGAAACACAGGACACATTACTTGATGGTAACGAAGATAGCCAAAAGAAACACTTCTTATTCAATTGAATACTCGGTTACCTTGTCATAAGAAAAGGCGTTTTCCCGAAGGATATGCCTTGCAACAATAGGATCTGAGATGACAACAAAGGCTTTTGGACCAAACGCAAGTTTATACACTCCTCCATGCTTAAGTTAAGAATGAAACACAGTTGTTAATAAGGATTAAACTTGTTCAAGTAAAGCATTAAGATGAGTTCTTATAGTATACCTCCAAGAACCAGTCGTAAAGAGATAAAAAGAGAGGCTTTCCAAACAAATCAGAGACAGCGCCTTGAGCAGTAGGCATTGACCCCAAACTTCCACCACTTAAAAAATTTGTCAAAAGGTTGCTCGCATTGTCCAATATGTTACCATTCGTCTTTGGCTCCATAGATTGGCACCTAAATATATCTCACCACAAAAAATCAAACTCAGTTTACTACAATTATACCATTACCAAAGCTCTTTACTTTCTGTTATCTGGTTCTGAATTTCACAATCCACATCAAAAATCTAATTTCACAGACATCTACAGATAACTCTAGATATCAAGCAAAAAGCCACCAACTTTCATCAAACCCAGACCTAATTTTAAAGGTGTAATCAAAAGAAGAGAAACCCACTTGATGGGAACAGAAGATCTCCGCGAGAAAAGGGTTTGTGGGTAGAAGAAACCCAAGAGGCAGTGATCGCGATGAAGACCGCCGCCATGGAAATGGGTGGAATAAGTAGCAGCGGAAGGAAAAGCCATGGTTGCTGCAACCATCTTCAAATGAAAAAAGATTGAACATGCTTTCTTCTTTTCTTTCTTATCTTTTTGCTTGAAAATGGCCACTTCCAGCAGCCCAAGCATAACGACACAGATTGCACTTGCAATAAGATTTTTCCTTAGTGCTTACATTGACACGTGTCCTCCATTTCCAGCTTTTGTAAAAAATGATTGCCACCTAAGAAAATCGCGGTTGTTTTATTACTGTAATTTTTTACTATTTTGGTTGATAAATAATAAATGTCAAAAATTTTAAATTTTTTTGAAAGATCGAAATGATAAATTTTTTGATAATTTGGAAAGGAATCCAAAAAAAATTGTTCAATTGATGGAAAGTGAGGTTCAAGCTTGGAACACAGCATAAACGGAGGTTATTGGAGGAAATCACTCCTCTAACTTATTATGTTTGGAGAGGAAAGATTTCACAGGTTATCGTTGTTTTATTGATGGGTCAGGAAAAGATCAAGAATATTTTTCAGGTTTAGGATGGTAATGTTCAAAAGCAAATAATGAGTCACCACTTATGGGAGCATGTAACCTTCGCGGAAGTTTTTTTTCACTACATTTTGAAGTGGAAGTAATAGTGTGGGTGATTAGAAAACTGATGTTACTTTCGTTACAAACTGTTCCTATCTACAGAAGATGATGTCTACGCCAACTTAATGACCGAGTTTTAAAATTTATTTGGAAGAAATATAGAAAAATAAAGAAGTTTTCATGTCTTTTGCTATTTTCCTTGTTCTTCGTAACAATTTTTAATTTAAACGGGTTTATTAGCACGGAATGCCCGTGCCTACCCGCACTATATCATATATGTAAACATTTTTCTTCCGATTTGGCTTAGAGAGCCTTTCAATTAATGCGAAGTTATTGACAAAATACTTTTAAGAAACTGAGAAGATGTTGTGGATAGTGCAAAAATAAGGAAAGACAACAAAACTTTGCTACTTTTTCTTGTCAGTATTTTTTCTTTTTGTTTGGATGATCCGGACTAGAATATGGTTCAGTCACATCATTCAACTTAACTTCTCCGATTAATTTTAGGTATGAGCCAGTCCGATAAAGAAACCCTTGGTCCACCGGATTTTCCGTTTAAGTTTGACATGCGATTAGATGAACCTGGTTAAATTTGCTTTGTAAAAATATCGCAACACAAACGGTCACAATTGTTGCTTTCTCTATACACATGTAACATGTTTTAAATGGAGTACTTAGACAAAAACAAGTTTACGCCTTGTTTCAGATCCAACTACCATGAGGAGACCACATGCAATATATTATCGTTGTTTCTTTTTTTGTAGGTAGCATGAAATGTGTAGAGTGTTAATAGGTTGGGTTCAAACACTTAGGCAATCTAAGCCTATGTATTTTGTTTTATCCCCATGATATATCCATAATTAACATATATATAGCCCATAAACAGTAGGTGAGGTAATGTTATCTTGCAAAATAACATGAAATATGTAAATGTGAGTATTGTGGATTTCCTCGAAACAAGATCAAATATCGCTTGTTGATCAATTATCATCACTAACGACAACAAAAATAGGTGGTAATACTCAACTGTCTTGGACCTTCCCGACCAAAATCTTGATCAAGTTTACTTATACATACTATGTACGTCCTATAAAACACCCTTCTTTAATGAGGAAAATAGATTTTAGACCAGATATTACTATCTG